CAGGTTCAGTGGTAGGTGTTAAGGATGCAGACATCTTTGAGGGGGGCATTATTTGCCTGCCATAGTACCATTTTATAAACGTCAAAAATATGATTGTTGTATATTAATTAGTAGGCATGAGATATGATTAAGCAGAGAAATTGTTCATCAGGCTTTATAAAAAGAAACCAAGGTTCTCGCATGAAATTGAGAATAAAAGTGTAAGTCTATCCACTTTTACTGTAAATATGTTCATGTGACAAAGCAATGGTTAAGTGCTCTGAAATAATTGAGAGCATTAAAGGTTTATTATAAAATATTTTGTTGTAGATTACAATCTACTTGAACATAATACCAGACTGGACTTGAGATGTAGGCTTTAGAAAGTATAGGTAATAGGGTGCTCTCGCTAAATTTTGGATTTTTTTAACTTTGTATTCTATGGGCATGTCTTAGTGAATCTAATTTTTGTGAAATTTTAAGCTCTATGTAAAACCAGTGCAAATATACTTACTACCTAGTTGAGAAATTTATTAGGGTTTATTGTGGTAAAAATTAGTTAAACGGCAGTTGATCTTTGGCAGACATGTTTGATCACCTTTACAAACTAAAAGTATCTTTTGGAACACACACATTGTAGGTATCTAGTAGATGACCTCAAGTGAGACAAGAAACTCTTGGAGGTGTCAGGTAAATACATATTTTGGAGTATGTAGCATACCATCTATGATGTACATGAATTACCCATCTCCTTTAATCCAGACAAAAGCTGTGTGAGGCTGGAAATTTTGTCCTCATTTTATGGTTGAGCAGGTGGTGAAGACTAGGTTTGGATCCAGCTGTGTGTAGGAGACTCCAGAATGATGCCACTTTTATTGTCCTGAGTCACTTGTTGAGAGGTTTGTCTCTAGGTTAATGGTTTTCAGAGACTCTGTAGGGCTCTGTAACCTCTTTCGGAAGTTTGGGAAAAGTGATCCCCTCCGCCCCCCATCATTCCTTCTCTTTGACTTGTTTTATACGTTGAGGTTCAGTTTTAACTCTGGAAAGGCAGGGATGCCTAAACATTTGAAGTCGTCTGCCCTATCAGCCTGAGACTGCTCTAGGGTGAATGTATTAGGAAATAAAAATGTAGGTAATAATAATTTATATTTGTCAGTGAGCAGACTTTAACTTCATCCATATTTCTATTCCCAATGATGTTTCATGTAGCCTAATATTAACGTGAGGTTGAAGTGACTGAATACAGTAGGGTCTGGAAGTGATTGGAACTAAAATTTGATTTGGAAAATGGGTAATCTACAATTTACTGCACAGGGTTCATTCCCACCACGAGCTCCTGCTGTGCGTTTAAAGGCTGCCCTATAAGCATGATATAATGACAGGTTAAACCCCTGAGTGTACCACCTGACGCAGGGCAAATCTGAGGCCCAGGACTTTATTGGGGCCCGTGTAATGCTTCTTTAAAAACACAAGCTTCTCTATTTAATGAGGCCATTTAAGATGGTTTTCCCAGACTGGGAAGAGAATATAATCTCAGTTTGGAGGTTGAACGAGTTTAATAGAGTTATGGGTGTTTACTACTCTCACTGCAATCTATTCGAAGGAAGAGAAGGAGTTTCAAGTATGATGTCACCAGGGATAGAAGTGGAGGAGTGAGTTAGAATTGAGGAAATCCGGTCGTTGACGCCCAGTAAATAGTGAACGAAGTGGGGAGAATGCTTTTACTCTATGAACACAGCTCACACATGGTTAACCAGGAGAAGAGCACTTTTCTGGCCACGTAATTCTCATATACTCTCTGTAGGTCTTAGGTTGAAATCATACAAAATTGGCAGTATCTGTTTTCTACAGAAAGACATGTTTCGAACTAAATGTAAGCTTGTGGAAATGGGTGAGGTCGCAGTGTTGCCTGGGGTCGAGGGCAGGGTCTGGCTTGTGCCGGGCAGCGCCCCAGCGGCCCTGGGCTGGGGGGCGGGGCTTGCGGGCGTGCCCACCGCGCCGGCCCCGCCCCGCCCCGCCGGCCCCGCCCCGCCGGCCCGCCCCGCCCGCTGCGGCTGGGCTGGGCTGGGCTGGGCTGGGCTGGGCTGGGCTGGGCTGGGCGCTGCGAACGGAGGCCGGCCGGCGGGCGCTGCGGGCTGGAGCAGGCTCCCCAGCACCGCCAGGCCCAGCCCTGGGCCCCGCGTGGCTCTCCCGGCGGGCCGGACCCTGCGGCAGCTCCGAGCTGGCTCCGGGGGCGCGCTTGACCAGCCTCCTCGCGCCCTGCAGCCCCATCCTTCACCCACGCTGGCGGGCTAGTGAATGTGGGGAAGACAAACTTCCAAGGCAGGCGGTTGAGGGCCCAGCGGAGGACAGCTCCGGTGATGGCGCCCATTTTTGGAAACACAGGCGAATTGGAGCTCGCGGGGAGGCGTGGTGGACTCCTGAGGGGACGGGAGAGGCGTCGTTCCTCTGCTGCTGCGGTAGCCGGTGCTTCGGAGGAGTGAATGGAGGATCCTAGAGCAGGGCGCTCGCTTACCTTCGCTTCTTGAAAACTTGAACTCCGACGTGCTCAGGCACAGAACGTGTCCATCCAGCAGGGCCTCTGTTACAAATCGTGTTTGCTCCTGGGGGAAGGGCTATGAGCCGCCTGACTTCTCATGACCGGGAAGTCTCCCTTACCTTTTCTGTACTCCTGGAGGGGCGTCTTGCTCACATGTCTGCCAGCAGCTGGGACAAGGAAGAGAAAAGGTACAGACACCAAGAGACTGGGATGCTAAAAGTATGAACCGGGGAAAGTTGTGAGCCGGGGGAATCTGGATCAGGGAGTGGCTGCAATGTAATTGAGCTCTAGTTTGCATTGCTGTTTCTTTTGATCTACTGTACTTTTCTCTGTTTAAACCAAGCTTCAGGTTACGTCATCACTCCTGCAGGGTTGTCTGAAGACACTTGAGTCCGTGGTTCCTACTGCAGGGCTGCTCTGTGGTTGGGGTTCTTTTTGTTTGAAGATGGAGCTGGGTTCCACCTTTGGTGCTTTGGGAGGTTTTAGCACCTTCTGTCCTGTAATACCTCCATTCGCAAGAAATACCGGCCTCATTTCGCTTGTTTTCACTCTTTAGAGATTTAAACTGTTTTTTTTTTTTTTTACAATGTTTGCAAAAGTAATAAAGATAATATTGGAATGTAAGCCTGAATGATTGATGATTATGTATAGTTATTTGCTCGGTCTGGAAATGAAACGATAGTATTTTTCTTGCTTATATTTTCCTAGTTCTATTATTTTGAATACAAGCTGAGTTTACTGTTCCTTGATGTGATTAGTTTGTTTGGTTTAGTAATTTGAAAAGGCATCAGTGGTTTAGACTGTTTTGTGTGCAGGGAGCCACTTTCCAATTCTAACATTGCTCACATACATAAGTGAGCAGTATAAAATGGACCACGAGACAGGCATACAGCATATACGTGGGGCATTTTGGCAAGGCTGAGCCCGTTGTTTCCAAGTGATAGAAAATGCATGGATCATCGTACTCACAAAGAATCGAACACCTGGGTTGTACAGTGTTTCAGGTGATGAGAATTGATTCCCGTTGTCCCTAAGTCCATGTGACAAGCCACCTTATGGAATTCTGTACTTTTGTAGAGTGTTGAATTGTAGAATATTAACTTTAGTTGACAGTGGACTTTTTTTTTGTCACCTTCAACCCTCACTTGGTGTCTATCCTTGAGTAATCTAGAAGTCCAGTTGCTTTTATATAGTCACATGGGTAACCAGCGTTGTTTTCTTAAAGTCAGGTTCTTTGCAGCAATAACGATTACATTGAGGAAGCATTAAATTTGAGGCATTCAATTTTAGTTTTGTTAGAAATATGGCTTGTATAGTTGTTGGGAATACAGTCTTGGGACATCAGTAGACTGATCTTTTGTTACCCCTGAGACAAATATGGCCTGTCATATCCTAACAAAGTAGATTCCTGGGGAAGGTATTTATTTGCTTTATCTTTCATTTAGCCTGACAAATTAGTTACATTGTTGTCGTTTCTTCCAGATGACATTTATCTCAAATAATATTTATTCCTGTGCTGATGAATGCTTCAGCAACACTAGTGAACCCTAGGGTACAAGGAATTCTTAACCTGTTTACTGTACTGTCCCCAATGTTTCGTGTGTCTCTGGTGTTTTAATCTTTATTCTTTAATTACTTCTTTTCTGGCTTTTCTTCCCCTTTTCAAATTATATGTAATTTTATTGTGCAATGGAAATAGAGTAGAAAGATGTACTTTCTCTGAGTACCTAAAAACTTTTGAGATACCCTCCATTTCTCTTCTCTTTCTCCCACCTTTATTATGGGGCCTACTCATCAGTAGGAAGTAAGATTAATTAACACGTAGCTGGTGTTCAGATTCTAGGGGAAGACTTAATAGATGAAGGTGCATGATGGGATGGCAGCAGACCCTTCCCCTGACGACGCCTCCATCCCCAAATCTACAACTGAAGCAGATAACTGTTTGCCATTAGTCGGAGTTAATCAGAGCTGATGTCCTGGGTGATCCTTTGGATTACTTGAGACTGACTCCCTGTCACTGTTTCAAGCTGCCTCAGAATGGGAAAGAAATGGACTGAGCAGGGCAATTGAACACTGAGGGAGAGGGGAAAGTTCAGTGAAAACAGCTTTGATTGAACTTAAGCTACTTAACACAGGGTTTCTTAGTTGTTTACAGTCTGGTTTCTGTTTCAGCATTTATTCCATACTGTATAATTCATCCAAAGGGATTTTTAATATTTTTTTAAGAAAGGGAATTTTACATGTGTTTTGGGACATTTTGATAAAAGAGATTTTATCTGGTCCACAACTCCTAATACTCAAAGTGCATAATTTGTGTAATTTGTGTGTGTGTGTTTTTTTTAAATCCTTTACTCTTTTTGCTCACAGTATGTTTTTCATAAAACTTAAGTATTTCTGGCATGTAAACATTATTTATAAAACAAGTGAGAGTTTTAATTATTTCTCCTGCCTCTTTTTATTTTTATGTATGTTTTCGTTACAGAAATGAGCCGCCAGACTGCAACAGCATTACCTACTGGAACCTCAAAGTGTACCCCGTCTCAGAGGGTGCCCGCCCTGACTGGCACAACCGCATCCAACAATGACTTGGCGAGTCTTTTTGAGTGTCCGGTCTGCTTTGACTATGTGTTACCACCCATTCTTCAGTGTCAGAGTGGCCATCTTGTTTGTAGCAACTGTCGCCCAAAGCTCACATGTTGTCCAACCTGCCGGGGCCCTTTGGGATCCATTCGCAACTTGGCTATGGAGAAAGTGGCCAATTCTGTACTTTTCCCTTGTAAATATGCCTCTTCTGGATGTGAAATAACTTTGCCACACACAGAAAAAGCAGACCACGAAGAGCTCTGTGAGTTTAGGCCTTATTCATGTCCGTGCCCTGGTGCTTCCTGTAAATGGCAAGGCTCTTTGGATGCTGTCATGCCCCATCTGATGCATCAGCATAAGTCCATTACGACCCTACAGGGAGAGGATATAGTTTTCCTTGCAACAGACATTAACCTTCCTGGTGCTGTTGACTGGGTGATGATGCAGTCCTGTTTTGGCTTTCACTTCATGTTAGTATTGGAGAAACAGGAAAAGTATGATGGTCACCAGCAGTTCTTTGCAATTGTACAGCTGATAGGAACACGCAAGCAAGCTGAAAATTTTGCTTATCGACTTGAGCTAAATGGTCATAGGCGGCGATTGACTTGGGAAGCGACTCCGCGCTCTATTCATGAGGGAATTGCCACGGCCATTATGAATAGTGACTGCCTAGTCTTTGACACCAGCATTGCACAGCTTTTTGCAGAAAATGGCAATTTAGGCATCAATGTAACTATTTCCATGTGTTGAAATGGCAATCAAACATTTTCTGGCCAGTGTTTAAAACCATTGCATTCAATTTCACAGAGAATAAGGCAGCCGTCTGCCTGTCAACCTGAAACTTTTGGTAGGTGGAAGCTAGACACATGAAGGTAAATAAAAGGAAAGGCTGTTAAATACAGGAAACAGTTGCATGTAGTAACACTAATATATTTAAAAATAAGTCAACAGTAAACCACTGAAAAATATATATATATATACACCCAAAATGGGCATCTTTTGTATTAAGAAAGGAAGCATTGTAAAATAATTCTGAATTTGTGTTGTAGATTGTACTGTTGAAAAATACTGGGTTTTTGTTTTGTGTGTGTGCCTGCGAATTGGTGTGCGTGCGCGCGCGTGTGTATGTGTGTGTGGGTTTTTTTTTTTTTTTCTTTTAACCGACAAGCCATGTTGAGTGGTCTTGGACCACTGCTTTTCCCCTTTGTGAGTCAATACATAGTGCTGCTGTGTGTGTATATTTTTTTTGTGTGTATTTGCTAATTTTTATTAATTCTAGTTTTTCATTAAATAAATTGGACTTTCTTTTCTGTAATTCAAGTTTTTCCTCACTTTTTTTTGTACCTTTTTGAAGTTAGTGTCTTTTTGATATGCATAATTGTTTATGGTAAAGTTTATACATTATGTGTTCAATACGTATTTTCTTTTCCCCCATTAATCAGTTCATTAGAAATATTTTACATTCAAGTCTTTTGAGAAGATACAAGTTCCAGAAAGGAAAGGTAACAGCAGAAGAATTATCAGAAGCTATTTAAAGCAGCTGTAAGATGGTCTCTGTTTCTGTCTGTCTCTCTCTCTCTTTCTCCAGTTGAGTCATACCTTTAAACTTATTCTTTGAAAGATTAGGGAATACTGATTTTTTTTTTTAATACTGAAAAAAAAATCAGGCTTTTTTTTTTTCTTTCTTTGAAATATCTTGGACAAATCACATGTTTAAAATTTGTTCTTGTATTTATTGGTTTTGCAGAAGAAGGCATCGTCTTACACAGTATTTGTAATCAAAAGCAAATCATTTGTTTAAAAAAAGGCAGTTTGCAAAAAATGTTTTTGGTCTTTTATAATTCTCATTAAAAGAATATCTGGCAAATTAAAAACTTTTATGTGTCTGCTTTAGCCCTAAGTTTGATTAAAATCTAAAGTTATTTTCCTGTTCAATTCTGTACTTCATAACTGAAAACAGTATGCTGTATTTCGAGGTGTGATAGATTTATTCTAAGCAAATGAATGGGTATATGATCTCTATTTAGAGTTTTTTTCTTCCCTCTTGCTGACATTTTTATTCTCACAACTCTGTTAGGAGACTAAGTTAAAATACTGATGATTTTTTTCTCCTTAAAGAAAACCCAGTTAAAATGAGTTAGTGTTTCCTAGCGTACTAGTTATGAGCCTGGGCTCTACAGCAGCCTTCCAGGGCCCTCATGCCAGTCAGTCATGGCTCTAGCCCACTCACCAGCTTTGGGACCTGCTCCAGTTTTCTAATGTGTGAAGTGGGGTTAATTACGATAGCTACAAAAAAAAAAAAAAATTATGATAGCTACCCCAGAGGGTTAGAAGGGATACCAGTAAGTTACCCAGAAAAGTGCTTTGCACATAATAATAAGCACCCAACAAATGTTAGCTGCTATTATGCTTTTAACTAGCACCAAATCGAACAGCATCCTTAACTGTTGCTAATTGCCCTGAGGCACCTAACAAGATTCGGAATGGCCAAAGATCATTTTATTTTGTGTGGCTTTTACAGGTACACTAAACTTAGTCAAAAAGAATTTGGACTGCCCCCTTATCCCACCAGCCATTCTGGATAACAGAATTTACTTCTGTTAACCACTTTCAGAATGAAGATTTGTGTGATTTCTTTTCCTACAGAAGCATTATTTTTTGAATTGGTTATCAAGTGTTTGTATAGCCATTTTTGTGGTGAAAGGGAATAGGTCAACCACAAATGTGTATCTTGGTCTGTTCCCATTAGCATGTGTTTAGAAAAGCAGTTTCCCCCCTACATTTGATGTATTGAATACTTTTGTGGAGGTGTGTCATTTTATTTTTACAATATTTTAAAGTGTTTCTTGGATTACAATAGTACTATATATGCTCAGTGTAGGGTTGGAAGTTAGAGCACACACAAGAGATCTCTAACTGGGAACATTTTTATTTTCCAGTCCTTTGTGTATTTACATGTGCCTACACACTTATTTTGAAATAATGTAATTTTGCAACCCTCTTACACATCACTTCAGTCCATGCATTTCACTTTAATAATCTTGGAAAGACACCATTTGGGGAACCTTTGTAAGGACTGACTAGAATTTTAGCCAGTTTTCTGATGTTTACATAGTGCTTTGTCCTGTTTGCCCATGTAAATCTTTTCCAGGTATTTATAAAAAGGCTGTGAACATCCTTATATGTTTTCTTATTATATTCGTGAGACTTCTCAGTTTCTGGAGAGGTTTCAGTGGACACTTAAGAGTAGCAGTGTGAAGGATTTTTTCCCTTTCATTGTAACCTCATGTTCCGCTAATTTTTTTTTTGTTTTTTTTTTTATGTTTCGCTAATTTATACAAATAGTAAATTTTTTGTGTTTGACATCCAGTAAGTTCATCTTTTGTTAACTACTTTAAGTCCTCTTCATATCTTGATCCAGAGGGATGGTGAGATCTATATCCACATTTCTTGGTTCACTCAAGATATTAAATCATCCTTGTTACAGTTAATATTCTACTTTCTCCTATTAATGCCCTGCCTCGTTTTTTTGTGTCGTGGTGTTTTCTTTCAGGGAATTGTATAGGGGTAGGGTAGGTGTTACTCTCTAACTTGCTCTTTTGCATTTATCTTCTTTAACTTGAATTCATTCTACTGAATTGAATCATGGGCCACTTTAATATGTTGATTGTTGGGGAACAGGTTTCTGATTTTTATAACATTGCTTAATTTCTTTTAAGGCTCACATTTCTGCAAACTACAGGTATGGCAGTGGCTATATAGATCTTTTGGTTCACCAAAAATCCTAATGCCCCTCGCTCCCCGAGCACTTGATTATAGAAAGGTTACCTCATTTGGTGGTTCTAACTGGAAAATAGGAAGCCAGCCTGCTCTCCCCTCAGCCCTTAATACCTCACAACATGGATGGCACCTACCTAGTGTAGGGAGCTCCTGGTGGTAGATACCACTAGCCACTGTGTCCAAAGATGGGAATCCAAATCCTCTGCATTTCAAACAGCCACTACCAGAGATGGCACTGGAAATGAAACCCATCTGCATTCCCACTCTTACAGAGAGAATTTGTGCAGTGAGCAAAAAGCAAGTCTTGATCAATGTCAAGGAAGAAGCGGAAAGAAGGACATATTTGTGTTTTGCTCAGCAAATGCAATTTTTTTTGTCCGCCTATTTAAAAACAACAACAACAACCCAGTATGTTTAGTGGCCTTTAAATACCACTCCATAATCAGGAGACCTTATTTGTGGCCACAGATTTATAGACTGATGTTAAATATTTTATGGTCAATCGTCACTTAAATGGCATTTTTCACTGTAATCAGAAGCACTAAATAAAAGACCTCAGCCCCTGACACGGTTAATGTTAAGTTTCAAACAAAAGTGGGCAGAGTCCAGTAAAAAAGTGTGTTTTAAGCAGACCATAATTTCTCAAGTTCCAAGACGCTTAAAGCTTTATTTAGTTTTCATACTTTTGAAAGCTCATACATAAAAGGCATATGGAGTACTGGTTAAATACATATCAAGGCCTCACTTCTAGCCCTACTTAATTAGAATTTGAGTTAATCAACATTTTCAATAAAACCCCAGCTGTGATACAAAGGGTGTTTGGGTAACACTTTAAAGAACAATGCTGGGAAAAGGTACTAGGGAAATGCAAATCAAAACCCAGAGCTGCTGCTTCACACCCCTGGGACGGGCTATTACCAAAAAGAAGCCGTGGCAGGGAGTGGAGAACTGGGGTCTTGGTGTATTGCTGGTGGGAATGGCGAGTGGAGCAGCAAACGCCGTGCAGGAGGAGTCTGTGGCTCCTCACAAAGCTACGCGTGGACTCCTCCTAAGAGCAGCAACTCTACTTTTGGGTAGTAGTAGGGACAGGGACGGTCGCACACTCACGTTGACAGAATTCTTCACAACAGCCGAGAGGTGGAAAAACCCAGACATCCTGGGGCGAACGGAGGATATGGGGCCCGGGGTTCAGAGATCCGAAATGCTGAGGCTTGTGGTCAATGTGGCTGAACTCCGACCACACACTCGGTGAAGCTGGAAGGGGCAAACGCGGAGACCGAAGAGTTTGTGTGTGCGTGTGTGGCGGGGGTGGGGGGGACGTGAATGGAAGAAAGAGGAGTCACTGTTCTGTGGGTACAGCTTCAGTTTAAGATAATCATGGGAAGGCTTCGGAGAGAGGGGGATGGCCAGACACCGTTGTGACTAATGTCCCTCAATTACCCACTTAAAACTGGCCCAAGTGGTAAATTCTCCTCTCCTGTCACAACAAAAGACAAGTGAATAAGACTTAAAAAACAAAAAAACTGAAAGCAGTGCCAGGGAAAGGAAGGCCCAGCTGTTCAGCCCCCCGCCCCCCCCCCCCCAGCAAGGGCTGCGGGCTCTAGGCCGAGGGCGCCCCCAGCTGCTTGGGGCGGAGGAAGAGCGCTGGTGGGCCCCACCTCATCCTGAGCTCTTGCAGTTTCTGGGGGTGTGGGGGCGTTGCAGTCTGGGGATGGATGAACTCCCTCTGCTTGCAGAAGATGAATTAGCATCATGGTTTCTTTTCCTCCCCTGTGAAGATGACTGAATAGAAGCCATAAAATCCTAACAGTGGGAAGATAGTCCATGAAATGGTTTTTAAAGTGCTGATGCTTCTTGCTCCCCCACTGGACATGACGAGCCCCGTAAGCGGAGCCCCAGATCTGGATTTGTAATTCCAGAACATGTTCAGATTTTACTAGCGGGTAATTGGGTAACATGCTCATCCAGGGCATCCCAAAGTATCTTTGCGTATCTGTTCTAACATTCCGTAATAGAAGATTCTATAGTTAGTATTATTTTAGTGTCGTGTTCGCATCCATCTTCAGTGACACTTCACCACTCCTGCTCCCATTTTACAGGTAAGGAAAATGAGCAGAAGAGCCTGGAAGGAGCCAGACACAAGAGAACATGGAGAGTCTACGGGGCCTGGCACAGGCCAACCGGGCGGAGCAGGGAGGTGACAGGGTCAGGGTACCACGGTGGGGACCATCCCAAGATGGGCGGCAGCCTCTGAGGACCGGACTTTTTTTTTTTTTTTAAGATGTTCCTAACAGGCCACTCTGCCTGGTAGAAACTGCCAAGTTTTGGCTGCTACTTCCTCAGCATAAGCCGCACCCCGTGTTGGGGTGTGCAGACCTCACCCCGGGCTTCCCATCACTTGAATACTTACTTTGGTGCGGTTTTCATCTTTGTCTTGGGGCCCCTGTGTCAGTCTCCTCAGGGTCCAGCAACCTCTCCCGGTGGCTCTTCCGGATGCTGACCACGCAGAAGAGCCACCTGGAGGGCGGGCTAAACTGACTTCTGGGCACCCCACTCCCACCACCCATAGTTTGAGTCCGAAGGTCTGGATCTTGAGAATTAACATTTCTAATTTCTAACAAGTTCACAGGTCACACGGATGCTTCTGTTCTGGGCACCACACTGAGAACTGATGCTCTGTACCCCTCTGGGGACAGTGATGATTCCACTGAAGACAATTTGATTTTTATTAATCAGTTTATTAACATTTCTGTAATCAACACCAGCCACCACTTGAGTGAGATTTGTTACTGTTGTGATCGTATTCACAAGTAAGGGACACTGTGCTGACCTCTACGGGTATGAACAAAGAAAGACCTTTCAATACCTCTTGGCACTTCATAACTTGAAATTCTGAAAGTTGAGATTTGGGCCTACAATTTGCTATTTATGAGACCAGGTCTGGTGCTGACAGTAAAGCCACCATCAAAAGCTGCATTAAGAACTTCATCCAGGCAGCTTGCTGTGACAAAACTTAAATCCTGTCGTACGTTGCCCGGGATTTCTTCAAGGTCTTTTTCGTTCCTCTGAGGAATGATGACTCGCTTCAATCCTGCTCTGTGTGCTGCCAGCACTTTGTCTTTAATCCCACCCACCTATAAGGAGAGAAGAAAGTTACTCAGATTTCTGGTCATCCTCAGACTGTAAGAGATCCGTGACCCAACTTTCTTTCACGGTTATTTAGAACATTGAACTCATCTCCCGATTTGTTATAGTGCGAGCTGGGAAAGCCACTAAAAAACGTTAATATACAGTGAATTCTTTGTTTTAATTTGTGTTATATTCAATCCTTTTAATGGGGGAACATTCTAAATTTTTGATAGATACGAGCACGTCTTATGTCCATGATCCCTTTTTACACTGTCAGGTTAGTATTTATACCACATTCTGTAATCAAAACAATCTTATCTATAGGTCGATTCTGGCAAAGCATTACATTATTTTGACCACAAATACCATTCCTACAGAACTCAGCTGTGTGCCAGGATGACTTCCTTCTCTACAAGTTTAAAGCCATAACTATCTCTGTGCCACTTGATGAAGAAACCATATCCCAAATGATCTAGGCTCTTACAGTGGTTTTAAAATAGGTCCAAAGTGGTCCCTTCACAAAGAGGGGAGTCTAACTCCCTTCCCCTTGGATGTGGGCCAGGCTTAGGGACTCGTAAGAAACAGAATGCTGTATGACTTTCAGTTAACCAGTAAAAAATGAGAGCTGCTGCTGCTGCTAGGTCTGTCTCTCTGCATCTCTCCCTGGAGGTAGCCAGCTGCCGTATTTGAGATCACCCAACAGTCTCTGGAGAAGCCGTAAGGTGAGGAACTGGGGTATCCTGCCAACCAGTCAGTGCATGGACCCCAGTGCACTGGGCTGGTGTTCTGACTGGAAGACAGGACTCTGAGGCAGACAGCTCAGCTAAGCCTCTCCTGAATTCCTGACCCACAGAAATTGTGAGAATAATAAACATCATTGTTTTGGGGTGCTGGCAGCTCTCAGGCATAACCCCCAGAGCACATAAGCCCCGCAGACAGCCCCCCGGAGCCCTCCAACTACCCACACCAATGCTGACTGCCCCGGAGCCTTGGGCACAGGCCCTCCTCTGTCCAGGCCCTTCGTGTACTGCTGAAGCACGTTCTGAGCACCTTGCTCACAGACAGCCTAAGACAAAGTGACTCCTTGCATGTCTGGAAATGCCTGTTTTCTCTCCTGTTGGACTGGTGGTAAGACTGTGTATACAAGACTGGATTTAAAATCATTCTCCGTCAGGGTTTTGAAGGTACTGCACGTCTGGGTGTCACTGAGGAGACAGCTCTTTCCTCGGCTGTCGGACCAGTCGTGGGGATGACATCTTTCTCCTCGTTGCTGTAAAGCCCTTTCAATCTGACGGTAACCTTCAATTCTAGGAAATGGTCCATTATTTGACAGTTTGCTAGATTCCGTTTCCTCTTTGCTAGAATGCCTGCCTGCCTGATAGATACTGGATTTGCCTGTTTGCTTTTCTATTATTTTTTTCAGAATACTTCTCTAATTCTAAAACCAAAGTTTTCAATCCAAGTTTTGTCCTCATTCTCTGATCTTGAACTGTTCTCTGAAGTGCCAGCTTTGAGTATTTTTAAATGCTGTGGCTTTTCTCCTGTTTCATGGAATAGGTTTAAAACTGGAGGCTTACTCAAAGCTACCACGGCCCAGAGGGATGGGAAAGTCTTGACGTAGGTGCTTATTTGCCCTGAGAGCGAGGATCCATGTATGCTATGGAGATTTCTATGAATTTTCTTTGAATCCCCTGGTTTTGTTTCCCATCTCTTTCCTGCTCTCCTGGTCCGTGCCTTGACCCTCTGAGCCCATGCTTTTCCCAGATTCCCGCCAAGAAGTTCATTTCTACCCCTAATTCTGTTTCACCAGCCAGGAGGACACTATCTTCTAGAAGTTGGCTGAACGCTCAGCTGCTGACTCCCCACTCATTTTTGAGTGTTTGTATTATTCCTTTCACTCTTTGCTTAGTCTACCATCTTGAACTAGAAAGCTGAAGAGTTCATGTCAGTAAAGCATTTACATTTCCTTTTAATAGCACAGCTAGTATTAGCCACTATTAACCACTATTACAGTCTCTTTAAATGCAGTAATTCCTGGGTAAGGTGAAGAAAAGAGATCAGCCATTCCGTTCAAGTACAGACCTACAAATGTCTCACAATAATACAGTTGACTTCCTGGCGGAATTTTAAAAGTTGGCGAAATGAGAGCAGTTTTAGTGATCTTGAATGGTGATTCTACGATCTGCTTTCACAATTATCTTATGAAATAAAGGTGTTCTCAGAATAAAGAACGTTCTTTCCTCACTTTGCTAGGAATTCGCCAAAATTCTGTTGTAGACTGGTACTGGTAATGAATGACTTAAAACCCTAAATGACCGCTCAAGTTCTCTGCATTTTATGTGTTTTCCTAAGTAGTTTAGGGTATGGAGGGGAGCCCCAAAGCTTCATATATATAGAACTTTAAAAACATTTAGTAATTAGACATAGCTGGTCTTTGTTATTACAGCTTTCATTTTCTACTGATTTTTCTATAAATCTATCAACTACAGTAATCTATCTATAGGAGGTCTCATCTCACAGGGACTTCAAAAGTTCAGAAGTTAGCCTAAAGTTTTAAAAAAAATCAGCTGCTATCCTGTTTTACATTGAAGTTATCTGGTTAACAATTTGCTAACTCTTCACCTTAGTGGCTGACATTTCTGATGACCAGAAGTATTTCTTTCCCTCGCAAGTCTTCTTTCTTAGTAGAAGGGAAAACATGGGGAAAATTGTCAGTATTTTATATGATCAATACTGAAAAATATGAATTAGTTACAAGTATAAAACTTTAAAGTGTTTAAAGCTAAGGTGTGTATATATATATATATATATACACACACACACACACACACACACACACACACACATATACATATATGAAGAAGGGAAACTACTATTAATTTAAACTTAAAATTAAAAAAATTTAAAACCACATAAATCACTTTCTTCAGACTTACTGGAAGAACAAGACCTCTCAGTGTGATTTCTCCAGTCATGGCTACATCTGAACGCACCAGCCGCCCACTAAAAAGTGAGGCGAGACAGGTTACTATGGTAACCCCAGCAGATGGTCCATCTTTTGTGACAGCACCAGCTGGGAAGTGCAGATGGATGTCTGTGTTGTCAAGAAGATCAAAACTTCCAGAAGCTTAAAAAAGGAAATAAGGATTTTAATGTTGAAAATTAAACCTGTTTTCTTTTTCTCCTAAAAAAGAAAATCAAAAAGATAAAAATGAATGTTTTGGGTAAATGAATTCCTCAAAATATTAATGGGTGGCACAATTAGAGTGGGGTCTGGAAGAAGAGTTTTATTCCATTCCAAGTAGTACTGAAAACAAAACCTTGAAATCAGTTTCTAGTTCAGGACTAGCCACACAGCCCTAACACGGGAACTAGAATTTCTATGGGTCTTCAAAATCAAAGGTTTGTACTTTCTTGAAGGTGTGTAACTCTTCCTCTAGAGCCCATCTTAATCCTTGTCCCAGAACTGGGAGAGGTCTCCTAGAGGATGGGCCAAAGGCTCCTCCCCGCTTCCCGCTGCGCCTCCGGCTCAGCTGGGCCACTCACCATTCGTCAGATGGTACTTCTTTGCATTGCTGCGGAGCCAGCTGATGGCGAGATGGGCAGACTCCTTCATGACGTCCCCTAGCTGGCCAGTCAGAGTTAGCTGACCTTCGCCATCCATTCGGCTTGCCTCCACAAACATGATTTCCCCACCTAAGGGGGTCCAAGCCAGACCTATTGCCACTCCTGGTTGACTTAACCGTTCAGACACCTTGAGAGAAAGAAGAAACACGATCAGTCACCAAGACTGGCCAACCCCATCACAACACGCTGCCAGAGCCTACCTCTTCAGTTTAAGCTTCAACTCAAAAGGATCTGGAGTCACCCCTTAATTATGTATAGCTTTCTGCCAGAAAAAAACAAAACTTCCTGTTTGGCATTTATCAGAAGCAATTTTACCTTAAAATACGTGTGAATTACTGATTAGGAGCCACATTTAGTTACATGTGCTCTAATTTTCAAGGAACAAATCCAACTGTTTTATCTACTTAAATATTTGTATTAGGCTGCAAATTTATAAATACTCCAGAACCTAACTGCATTTTTAAAAAAGATTTTATTTATTCATGACAGAGAGGGAGGGAGGGAGGGAGGGAGGGAGGGAGGGAGGGGCAGAGACAAAGGCAGAGGGAGAAGCAGGCTCCATGCAGGGAGCCGGATGTGGGAGTCGATCCCGAGTCTCCAGGATCATGCCCTGGGCTGAAGGTGGCCCTAAACCGCTGAGCCACCGGGGCTGCCCCTAACTGCATTTTAAGTAATCGTACATTTGCTTCTGAAAGCAGAAACCCTGTTTCAGACACACATTTAAGAACTACTTGCTCCAGTGGCCAAGTATGAAGGTTTGTATTAAACCCCCTGGATTTTACTTCTCTGCCACGTTACCATCTGTGTTATTGCTGTAGGAACACTAGAAGATAATACTCCTCCTGTGTGCCTGGAGGCCCACTGTGTGTCCTCACTGCTGCTGGAAACTGAACGTGACATTTGCCTGAGACCACGAGCCCGGTGATGAGCCAGTTCATCCAGGTTAGGAGAACATATAAAGGGAACAGTATGGTTGAAACACAATCACATTCACTTTTACTCACCCTCTGAGCCTCCAAATTCCCTATCCCACCGAGCTACTGTGTCAGAGGAGCTGAGTACAACGTGTCAACCCACCACTAGCCCAAATAGGACAGGTTTCCAGCAGAGGTAACCTTCTCACTGAGGAGAAGCAGAACCAAGAGTTGGGAGTTTCTGTGTAAAAGAGCTGCATTGCTGATGCTTACTTCTTTCCAAGGGGCTTAGATGGTGAAAATCCTGACTTTAAAACACTCCAAAATCACATGTGGCATCCATGAAAGCTAAGAGGCACTTAGTTTTGGTGGCAAACCTGATAGCATGTTTTGAAAGTTTGTTTCATATTTAAAAATTTTAATTCTAATTAACTTCATCTGATAAGTGAGAGACTTGGAAGTCCAAACGCTGAGCCAAAAGCATGTCCCGGATTCCACCTCCCTCAGCTCTGGCACTTGCCCTGTTCCATATGTACTTGAGGAGAAAGATACATAGAAGATCAATACTATTTAAGGAAAACATAGAAACAACTATTTATAAAAGTGTTCCCGAGGCTTGTCTTTTTCTAATATAAAATAATTTCCTATACCTTTACGACATCTACTCCGGGTGGCTCTTTTCTGGGGCTGAGTGAACTAATCCTGAAGAATAATCCTCAGGACACGGACTCATGTTAGTTCATTTAATAGAAAAAGCCATTACGCTTAGCGGTTAGCTGTAACAAGAACCACAACTTTTTTACAGCTTAGATCCTCAAAACTCATTTTTCAGAATAATACCAAAAGTGCCCCCGAAGAATCAGGAGTCAGGTGCTTGTTGACTACTGTTTCACAGTCTCCCAACACTCTCCATCTGTTGGAAGCCTCGTACTCCGGGCAGAGGTGACTGGTGCATTGTTCACAGAAAGGATCGGGGGACAGATAAGTGCATATGGCGAAGCCAGAAACATTTGGGCCCACAGGCACTTTATTCAGACTTGATGGGAAGTGATCTCATAGTAACCTGAAGATGGGAGGATGACAAATCTGTGATTTAACAGCAACATACAGGCAGGAGAACAGATGGGCTTGATTACCAGCAACCCTAGAATCTCTGTAATTATGGCTAATAGTAGTTACCTAAAAGGTAAAGGATCTCTAATTCTTAGACTTGGAAACATACATACATAATTTTTAAGTGGGGGGAGGGCAGAGCGGGCAGGGTGGAGTGGCAGAGGGAGAGGGAGAAGCCGACTTCACCCTGAGCAGGGAGCCGGGCTCCGGGCTTGATCCCAGGTCTCCAGTATCATGACCTGAGCCGAAGGCAGACGCTTCACCGACTGAGCCACTCAGGTGCCCTGTCGTGCTTTTTTTTTTTTTTTTAAACTTTATTTTTATGTGATCTCTACACCCACCACGGGGCTCTAACTCAGCCCCAAGTTCGAGATTAAGAGTCCCAGGGCCCTAACTGAGCCAGCCAGGCTCCCCTGGAGTCGTACTCTTCGAGAGCGCGTGCTCTGAAACTGTAACAGTCACACATCAGGTTTCTATGTATTTTTGCCTCAGAAATGAGGGGAGTACGAGTAACTGTGAATGTAAAGACATGTGCTCCTTTCCTGCTGCCATGCACACTTTCCTAGCCGTCTTAACCCCTCCTCACAGAACAATCTATCCCCGAGCACTCTGTACAAAGTGATTCAACACAGTAATTTCAAAACTATGTTTATCTGTACTTTTCTATCAGTTTCTAATTGCACTGCTGATCCGTGGAATCATCAGTTATATGAGCCAAGACAGGCCTCGGCTCGAAACTGAGAATGTTTTCCCCACTAGATGTCAAAGTGGAGCACAAACACCCCAAGCTCATTTTTGCCGTTCATTTTCCCACAGGTATATCCTTACACTTCCATTTCCTTACTGTTAACTACATGTTGTTCAAAGAAATGGTTGATTTCTCCTGTAATAATTGTATCAATCACGTAAATATGTAGATTGAAGGGGTGTTGAAAATGTTTAACGAAAGACCTAATTAATAACAGACCCTGTCTTCCAAAGCCTGCCCGCACCCCTCAGCTCGATGGCAGCAGGGACAGCGAGTATAACCGCGGCAGTCTCCCCCCTCACCCCCGCACCGGACCCTGCGGACTGAAAGAGCAGGTCCGGACGGCCCTCCGAGCCCTCGCTGGCCTCCCCCAAGGCTCACAGTTTCAGTGCCTGTTACGACGGCGGCCTCGGAGAGGGCTGCAGGGTCTGCCGGTCATTCCGCGTGAGGCTCCATCACAGCTCGTAGGGACCTAGTGGCAAATACCCCTCGGAAGTGACAGACTAAGACCATCAGATAAAGTCACGATTCTACTCCAGTCCGGGGACACAACGGGCATGTACCGAGTGCTTTCATCTACACGGCCCTGAAGAGGTGCGGGCCCCTCTGTGGGGAGCTGGGACAAGTGTCCTAGAAGAGGCGGGGCGGAGCTGGGAGCTTGGCTCTCCAGGGAGCCAAGGACTGCGGACACGAGGGATTCCACGGGCCTTCTTGCCAGGGGCCCCCACGCACGGCGGGGAGCGCACCACCTGAGCTACCAGAGGGCCGCGGGCCCGCACAGGCTCTGGCGGCGGTGACGCTTACACTATAAACTGGCGGCTTTTATACCTCAGAGCACTTTTTATGCTCCTGCCAGGGCTGTCACCATGGCAGCTATCCATCTGCCAACTTCTTTCAAGTCTTTGTATGAAGATCCTAAGCCTGGAATTCATGAATATTTCATTTTTCTAGTTGTAGATTTGTTTCTGTAGTGTTTAGAAAAGGGAAGGTCAGATCCCGTTTGCCTTGGAGGTGCCGGGGTCTATACAGCACTGTCCTCGCAAAGCTGTGTTAAATAGCCCAGCTGGCCTGGCACTGCACACTGCAGACAGCCAGCTGCTTCCAGCCCCGTTCAGTAGAGCCTTTTCTTGGCAAAATCAACTCGTGGTGGGGCACCGGGCCAGGCTGAGTGTGCGGCATCGGTGCCGTAGGACACGGGCGCGTGTGGCACAGCAGGTTTAAGTGGAGTGGATGGGGAAGTAATTTACTACCAGACTTCTTTTGGACGTTTCACTAGTTTAATAAACTTTGCCCATTTCTAGCACCTGATTTTGTCTGTCTCAAAGGCAAACATGCTGATGGAATCTCCTGGAATTCACATTTGGATACATTCCATTCAACATGCTTTTATTTTTTATTTTCTGAAAGATTTTTTTAAAAGATTTTATCTTTTTAAAGATTTATTTATTCATGACAGACACACACAGAGAGGCAGAGGGAGAAGCAGGCTCCCTGCAGGGAGCCCGATGTGGGACTCGATCCCAGGACCCTGGGATCACGCCCTGAGCCAATGGCAGACGCTCAACCACTAAGACACCAAAGTGCCCCAAAATTTTATTTATTTCTCATGAGAGACACCAGAAAGAGAGAGGCAGAGACATAGGCAGAGGGAGAAGCAGGATCCTCTCAGGGAGGCTGATGCAGGACTTGATCCTAGCACCCAGGATCACACCCTGAGCTGGAGGCAGGTGCTCAAACACTAAGCCACCCAGGCGCCCCTATTCTATAAATAAATAAATAAATAAATAAATAAAAATAAATAAATAAATAAATAAATAAATAAATAAATAAATAAAAGTTCATTCATTCATTCATTCATTTATTAGAGAGCGAGAAAGACAGTGTGAGTGAGTGAGGGAGGAGCAGAGGGAAAGGGACAAGCAGTCTCTGCTGAGTGTGGAGCCCAGTGATCATAAGATGAACAGAAATCAGGTGTAAGTGCTTAACCAACTGAGCCACCCAGACACCCTTAATCAAGTTGCTTTTAAAAATCTGCATGCCTGGGATCCCTGGGTGGCGCAGCGGTTTGGCGCCTGCCTTTGGCCCAGGGCGCGATCCTGGAGACCCGGGATGGAATCCCACATCGGGCTCCCGGTGCATGGAGCCTGCTTCTCCCTCTGCCTGTGTCTCTGCCTCTCTCTCTCTCTCTGTGACTATCATAAGTAAATAAAAATTAAAAAAAAATTTAAAAAAAGTCTGCATGCCTATCTTCTTTCCTTTAATATTATTATATTTTAGGGGAGTGACCTTTGGACAAGGACTTTTTGTACACCACTGGAGGAAGCCAATGCTGAGGCTTTAATAAAAAATATG